AAGGCATGATAGAAGAATACAACTGGTACTCTCTAGATTTGGTGTAAACAGATAGCAGAACTGGGAATGGGAGAGATAGTAAAAAGAGAAACAATGCTTAGAATTACGAAGTCGTAGTTACGAAGAGCCAATATCGCTTACATCCGAAAGACACATGGACACAGAGAAATGAGTTAAAAGTATTTGTCCCCTACGTTATATTTCTATTTAAAGGATCGTCAACATTATGGGATAAGTGTTACTTCTGTTTGTTCGCTAAATTGAGAATATTGAAAGTGGAAACAAAGTGCCAGTCTCTGCATCAATATTAAGCCCACTACAATTTCCACCGAGCGTCAGTGATCACACAATGAATGTAATTTAATTAAAAATGATCGGATTAACATCCAAGATGAGATCCAGTTACTTTTTTTTTTCATCCTTTTACACCCACACTATACACCCACCTTCTACATTATTTTTTTAGGGATCAATTCAATTTCACCAAATTGAAACGAGCGATCCGTAATTCTGATTCACATTTGAACGAAGGGGGAAAAGAATTCCTGCTCTTAACGTCAAGGGACTTTGAATTTATTCCGGCGTCGAAGACCCAAAGGGGAAAAAAAAAACAAGCTCAAGAACATGATTGACACTTCAGGTGATTAGAGTTTATTGACGGTTACTATTATTAAGAGTTTCTCTTATTAAAAGATACGTTTTTTTTTCTTCTTCATCTTGAACGTCGCCATCCTCAGGATCCCGATCATCATCATCATCATCATCATCATCGCATCATTAGAAATTTTGTTATTATTAGACATTTAAAACTGCTGGGAATATGTGCGGTATCAATAATAACGGTTATATTATCATTAGAGTGATAATTGAAATAAAGAATAAAACTAAAATATTAATAGTACTTAGTAGTAGTAGTAATAATAATAATAATTATAATAATAATGATGATGATAATAATAATAATAATTTTGTCAGTGGAAATTGTCATGACGCCATTTCTAACCTTAGGTCCCTGGGCGGGACCTGGAAAGAAATGTGTAAACGCCAGAAATCAAAGAAAATGATAATAATAATAATAATAATAATAATGAAAAATGTCCTGATGTTACAGCAGCCATGGTCTTAATAAGCAAGATTATTCAAATTATTTACATTTTCCTGAATGTTGTCCTAATCCATAACTCCATAATCACGACGTTTCGACCATTGTATGTTCCGGCGTTTTTCAGCTGACAGAAATTTCGAACTAGACCCTTTCTTTCGTTCTCCGGTGTAGGTTGTTCTAGTTCCATGTTCCTTGCCTCTTCTACTCATGAGTTATGTCCCTTTAACTCAAGTCTCCAAGTTTTTGTTCTACGGTATCCAGGTATTGAACTCACAACTATCTGGTTCAAATCACTGAATCCAACAAACGCTTTGATCCACTAGGCCTTGTATCCTTGAGTCCGAGCAATGTAAATAATTACAATACCTCATCTCAGAAATATAGACAGGTAATATATAGGAATTGATGAAGATAATAATAATAATAAGAAGAAGAAGAAGAAGAAGAAGAAGACTGAGAAAGTACCAATAGTAATCGAACTCTGGGCCTCGTGAGAAAAATAATGAACAATTTTATTAACCTACAAGTTGCTCACAAAATCGCCCTACTAGGAACATCCCATATACTAAGAAAAGTGCGAGCAATTAAATGAAGATTATCCTATAGGGTCTATGGACCATTGTTTGGACCCGGTTCTACAAGATACCAAGCAGGACACATAACACACACAAACAATAATAATAATAGTAATAATAATAATAATAATAATAAAAATAATAAAAACTATCAAAATACAAAGACCTGGAAATTGAAATAGAAAAAATGTGGAAATTGAAAACAAGAATAATACCAGTGGTAATAGGTGCACTTGGAATTATAAAAAATGGAACAAAACAACACATTGAAAGAATCCCTGGAAACCCCAGCTTAAGAGACATACAGAAAATTGTCTTATTAAGTGCAGCACACACACTAAGGAGAACTTTGTCTATGTAACGCTAGCAACTTCATCGGAGATAAAAAAAAAAAAAAAAAAAAATTAACATGAAATGTGGCCATAACAACACACCACGACCTGCCTTAGGTCTTTCCGCAGACTTGGTAGGTAGTGTGTCCATAGCAGAAATAATAATAATAATAATAATAATAATAATAATAATAATAAAAACTATCACAGAAGAAGGATCTTTAACTCGAAATCTAAAATATGTTGCATATGAGGACATCAATATTTCCAGTTTATTTCGAGCCCTCGAATTGATTTGAAAATTTTCTGATAAACTCCCTGATAGTAGCCCTGGTATTCCAAGTGTTAAAAAAAAATGCCCACAGGTATAGCTCACACATTAAGAAAAACTATAGCTATGTAAAATATGTGTGACCTTTGTTTTTGTTTTAATTTTACAAAAATGGTCAGGGAAAATGTCTTAAAGCCATTTCTCACTTTAGTTTTTTTGCTGTGACCCGGAAGAAAATGTGTATACCACAGATATCCAATGGAAATATAATAATAATAATAATAATAATAATAATAATAATAATAATAATAATAATAATGCTGCACCAAGCATGAACCTTATACTTTCTGATCTTAATTCAATCGGGGTTTTAAGAAGTACATGTTTCGTTTTGGTGATTGAAAATTGGCAGAAATAGAAAAGAGTACTAATGAGGACAGTAGATAACGATTAGCATTGTATTTAAATGTTTGCAGATTAAAGTTGGCTGGAAAGAATTGAGCCAGAAGTGTATTCCAAAAGTGAGACCTGAGACAAAAGTATTTTTTTAGCCTTACGGCTCCATCTGGCCAGTTCAACTGTAAACTGATGAGATCTCGAGGCCAGTCTACTACTGCACTTAAATTGATAAATTCCAGGTACCATAGCGAAGAGCTCATGCGAACAATTACCATGAAAATATTTATTTAAAAAGGGCACAGAGAGACAACATTACGGCAGTGAGTAAACGACTGAAGCCGTGCGGCCGAATCAGATCCAGTGATATTGTTGATTCCTATCAAGGAGCTCAAGTTAAGTAGCAGGGGCAACGGAACTTATGTGGTGTAGCAATGTTCTAACCATAGGCGAATGGTAGACTTATAGATATGTAAGATAAATTCTGGAGAGAAATATTGCCTTCTAGTTAAATGACTTTCTTAGCACCTGACCTAGTAATGTATGAGCAAAAAGATAACCTTAGCCAGAGATTATGTAACGTGTCACTTGAAGTATTTCAAAATAGTTGTTGTCACATGATCTAGACCAGCAGTTGCTTCTATGAATGAAGGAAAAAAAAATGACAGACAAAACTGCACGTTACTTTTCGGAGGCAAATCGAAAGTAACGTGGAATAAAATATCATGGGGACATATATCATTGAAGCTGTTGACACGATGATAAGAGCAATCAATATAATAATAACGTTTGACAAAAAAAAAACTGATATCTACCATATGTTGCCTTTGAGGAGAAAAACTCGTCGAAACGGTATTAATCCTTATAAACTGCAACATTTGAAAGCGAACCCAACAATAATGCAAAAATAGGCACGAAAATTCATCTCAGCACAAACTAGAGATTTTTTTTAAGCGTTTCACCCCGAGCAAGGCGAGAAGCCACTAGGACGTAAGGGGTTACAGAAAATTTGGAGCACGAGCAGATATGAGTGATAGAGGAAAGAATGAGGAGAAGGGTAGTGGATAGATCAAGGCAACTGGAGATGTCGATTTTCATTACATTTGAATAGTTGGAGATTATAGCTCTCAGAAAAAAACTGGAATAGAGAAGGGAGTTCCACGGGCGAGAGGTGGGAGACATGAAGCTATTGGAGTAGAAGAGACGGCTACATTTAGAAGTTTTGACAGTGAAAGGGTGAGAGCGGGATGCCAGCCTTGTAGGTCGCTTGAACTCAAGAAGTCTGGGAACCAGCGAATGCAGCTCCTTGGAGCAAATGCCATGAAAGTATTTGTAAAACAGATCTAACTGAAACAAAGAAAAAGTAGAAAAGAAAACACTTTCATTGGTTCCCACCCAGAACGCTCAGTCTCTTTCAAAGAAGATTTTATGAATCCATAAAAATAGCTGTATGGCAGAGGACATAGTAATGACAGTTGAACAAAGAATGAGAATAAAAGATTAGAATAATGACTCGGCTTTGATTGAAAGGTGAACAAAATGAGGAATTCCTATATTAAAATCGTGCTCAAAATATTAGGTAGACTTTGACAAGTAAACAAAACAAACTGAAATTGAAATTAGATGAACGAAAATTCCAAAACAGAGTTAAGACTACGAGGATATTGAGATCGGTGTTGATATTCATTATTCAATGATGCCCCCCCCCAGCAGTCCGAGGTGAACATACGAATGCGGATTACCAGACAGACGTCTAGGATTAACAGGCCAATGATGTACACGAGACATCTCATGTGGATATGTCAATGATGTCTAGTAGATATCTGCACTGAACATGCCTATGATGGCCACTAGATGTCTGACATAGACATGTCAATGCTTCAAATAAGAAAACAAAAATCAGAAGAAAGAATGAAGCCATACAAATAACTTCTTTAATATAAGCAGTACAGTCAAAAAAAGGATGAACGTGTCTCTCCGAATTCTCCTGTGCCAGTAGCATTAAAAACATTTGGATATTTGCCTTAACTAGTGTAAATGTCCTTCCATCTATTCGCACAAATTCATTCAGTCAATTATGTGCCATGCCTGATACACACTTAGGCGACATGTAACTTTCGAAACAACTGATGAAGCAGATATTTTTCCGCACTAAGTTGTCATTTCCTTCTGCAGTAGAACAGGTTCTATACAAGGCTACAGAACCCGACCTTTATTTCTATTTACCCATAGCTGAACGGGGGTACAAGAGAATTCATAACCAAGGATATTAGCACGTAAGTGAATGTAATCGATCTAACATTCCAATTTCTCAAACCTAGCTTCTATCCATTACTCCACACATTCTTCTATCCATTACTCCACATATTCTCCTAACCATTACTCCCCACATTCTTCTAACCATTACTCCACACATTCTTCTAACCATTACTCCACACATTCTTCTAACCATTACTCCACATATTCTTCAATCCATTACTTCACATATTCTTCTATCCATTACACCGAATATTCTTTTATCAATTACTCCACACATTCTTCTAACCATTACTCCACACATTCTTCTATCCATTGCTCCACATATTCTCCTAACCATTACTCCACACATTCTTCTATCCATTACTCCACATATTCTCCTAACCATTACCCCACACATTCTTCTATCCATTACTCCACATATTCTCCTAACCATTACTCCCCACATTCTTCTAACCATTACTCCACACATCCTTCTGACCATTACTCCACACATTCTTCTAACCATTACTCCACATATTCTTCAATCCATTACTTCACATATTCTTCTATCCATAACTCCGAATATTCTTTTATCAATTACTCCACACATTCTTCTAACCATTACTCCACACATTCTTCTATCCATTACTCCACATATTCTCCTAACCATTACTCCACACATTCTTCTATCCATTACTCCAAATATTCTTCGATCCATTACTTCACATATTCTTCTATCCATTATTCCGAATATTCTTTTATCAATTACTCCACTCATTCTTCTCTCCATTACTCCACACATTCTTCTATCAATTACTCCACTCATTCTTCTATCAATTACTCCTCATATTTTTCTATCCATTACTCCACACATTCTTCCATCCATTACTCCACACATTCTTCCATCCATTACTCCTCATATTCTTCTATCCATTACTCCACACATTCTTCTATCCATTACTTCTCATATTCTTCTATCCATTACTCCACATATTCTTCTATCAATTACTCCACACATTCTTCTATCCATTACTCCACACATTTTTCTATCAATTACTCCACTCATTCTTCTATCCATTACTCCACACATTTTTCTATCCATTACTCCACTCATTCTTCTATCCATTACTCCACACATTCTTCTATCCATTACTCCTCATATAATTCTATCCATTACTCCACATATTCTCCTAACCATTACTCCACACATTCTTCTATCCATTACTCCACATATTCTCCTAACCATTACACCACACATTCTTCTTTCCATTACTCCACATATTCTCCTAACCATTACTCCACACATTCTTCTATCCATTACTCCACATATTCTTCTATCCATTACTCCTTACATATACAAATCGCCGTTTGCATCTGACACTTTTGTATTCATAGGTTTTGAGTGTTAAATTTTCCAAAATTGTCCCCATAATATGTCCGAAATATTCAACCAACACTTTCTAATTTTAATTATGAGCGTTCCTTGCGCTGTCATTTCCTTTAAACATCCTCATCTCTTACGTATTAAGTCCATTTTATTCTCAGTATCTGCTTAGAATCAGCGTTTTCAACTTGATTCTCTCCTTCATTTGTAATGAAAATTTCCAGGATATATTTATATTGGAAGGTGGATAAGATATAGACGTTACTACATTTTCTTATATGATTAAGATATAAGAAAGTATTAGTCAATTATGTGCCATGTGTGATACACGCTTTGGCGATCATTTATCTTTCGATACATGACTGACGAGGCAGATTTTTCCCGCAGTAGGTTACCATCTCTTTTTGCAGTAGACCATTTGCCATCCAAGCCTATAGAATCTGGTCCGTTTTGCTATCTACCCATAGCTGGGGAGAAGAAGAGATGTCATACCTTTCCCAAGGGTATTAGCATGTATGCAATAGATTCGACTGGAATTCGAACTCGGCTCTCCAATTACTCATTCCGAGCCGCTATCTTTACTCCTATGAAAGTATTGTTATGAATAATGAAAGAATCCTTCTAGGAATTAATGAAATTATTAAACGGATTACTTTCTCGAAGGCATCTTTCTTTATTCCTATGCACCGAAGGATAACGATGTGCTATTGTCGGATAATTCCAGATAATTCCGGATTTATAATATATAAAAATTAGACTGAATAAATATTTAAATATCTTTCTTTATTCCTATGCTCCGACGGATATCGATGTGATATTGTCGGATATTTCCGGATAATTCCGGATTTATAATACATAAAAATTACACTGAATGGATATTTAAATGTCTTTCTTTATTCCTATGCACCGACGGATATCGATGTGATATTGTCGGATATGTCCGGATAATTCCGGATTTATAATATATAATAATTAGCCTGAATGAATATTTAAATATAGTTTTTAAATATATTCTACTACAGATATCGTGAATGGCACAAATCGATAATTCCAATTAAGATATCTATCATATTAATTTAAAAAAAGTAATTCATATAACACGTTCCGGTAAGGGAAGGAAAGCTAACTAAAATGTGAAATTATTTGAAAAATAATTTCACATTTTTGTTAGCTTTTCGGAAGGACTCCCCTATTTTTGACACTGATATAGCTAAAATTATATTTCTCGTAATGAAGATGATAATAAAATTGTATGATTAATATAATTATATTTACAATTCCTCACTCACTAAACACCAGGTAGGTCTTCGCATCCCTACCTATCTGATTCTTCTGTTAGTATATGGAGCGAGGTTATATCCATCGCCACCTGGCGATCGCTGTCGCACAGCTTACAGAATTTCATATTCTCCTGGCGACAACCATCAGAGTATTGACCAGGCTCAACTTTGCTTAACTTCGGTGATCGATCATGTTTCAACGTGCTATGGCCATATTCACTTAGATTTATTCTGTTAACTACTTAGTGCAGATTATTTTGCTCCCATTCTTTTTACTACTATTTATTTTGATGCTATTGCTTCATATCCTATTCATCTGCTAATCCTTACGGATCATCTTTCGCTCGACATGATCATTGGATGAAGTTACCCTGTCGTAACAAATTCCGCCTTCTTACTGTTTTAAACGGACAGGAAAAGAATAACATAAATAAATCCCTTTTTATCAAAATCACTTTCAGTAATTGGATGAGATTTTCAAATGTCACTTCATATAATTGTGAGTTTGATACAGATTACAAAGAAAGCAATGGTTATCCAATCTGCCTTAACAAATGATGATAAAATATTTCTAATAATATTAATCTGAATGAACAAATATAGTCTGATTAATAAAAGCTATAAGAAAAATAATATCAACTTCATTCGTAATAATAAAGAAAGCAAATGGGAAAATATATTGGGATGGTCTTGGAAGGCCACGTTATCTTTATTGGGCTATATGGCTGTGAAAATTGAATAATTTCCTGATCGATGAAGAAAGGACTTGTCGTGTGCTTCTACCGAAGAGTGAAGAATATCATGGAGAGATTATGTAGCAAACGAGAAAAGTTTAAGTATTATAGGAACTAGGAAAAAGCGCTATTCTGGATTATTCTAACATCTTTTCTAAATAAATCTAATTTTCTCAACATTTCAAGTAGATCCTTGAGCCGCAGCTTTTCAAATTATTTTGCAGAATCTATAAAACGCAAGTACGCATGCGTCTGTATTTGTATTATGAAAACTAAATTAATCTAATTGTATCTGCTATTATAAAAATCCGTTCAATCTACAATACAAAATAATCTATAGTAAAGTTAAATCAGAAAATACTAGATTTGGGGGTGGCAATTTGAAGCGGCGAGACTTTGTAAATTTCCTGATTAACATTGAGATTACCCTCAAATATACTTTGGCATGAGATGAATTCATTTTTGTCCCGTCCACCACGCAATGTGCTAAATAGCAGTATACACTCGAATCTTACAATATGGGTGGCAACGTATGTAATGTTTTTTTTTTTGTACTTTTTTTTGTATTTTTTTTGTTTTGTTTTTTTTCCACACCAAGCAGGAGGTTCGAGGGGGTGGAAGAGAATGAGAAGACTTTAGCGAGAAAAGGTCACTAAAGCAAATTGTTTCAAGAAGACAGAAAATAACTATTTCTGTGATATCAACAAATACTCGGATGACACTTTTGTAATGTCAACGAATACTCGTTATCACTTTCGTAATTTTCGTTCTAGTACAGACTTTGTAATGGAATATACAAACTATACTACGCCGTTAAACAATGCTTTGTCAGATGCCTTTGAACAGTACAAACGAGTTGCTTATCTATCTAACTAATATAACTTTATATAAAATGAAATTCTCTCGAACCACATAATTTAGAATATGCGGTAAGTGCTAATCATTTTAAAAGAATATATTCTTTTGCAGACTTTGTCAAAGACAGATATTTAAAGAGTAGAAATAAAGAGAAAAACAATTCTGAAATAATCTGGAAAATGTAGAAAATTCAGCATCAGAAATTGCTTAATGTACACATTAACACTTGATTGGAAAATGCCAAAAGGAGCCTCAAAATAAGAATTAAAAACCAGAGAAAAAATAGAAATGTCACTGACGAAATCAACACACAAAACGATCTAAAGTAATTGAAAAGTATTTCATTTTACAGTAAAATGTAAAGAATATATATATAAAGAATTTTCACCAATACAGTTTTCTTGTTCGTTAACTTTTATTTATTTACCGCTTTTTAAAACACTCACTGTCGATAGTGATTCCGACTGTGAGAGCAAATATCTCAAGAATCGGAAATAAACACAGTTTTCTATGTAATATGAACACCCAAATGGGTTATTCGACTGCATGATATTCATAAGAGAGTGTAGATCTGTCAAGGCTATTTAAGAACAAGTTTCGAGGTTTCGGGTCAGTATTTAGCTTCTGTCGGATTCTGTGATGCTGGACGTAAATACCACTAGCAAAAGCTATCCAGTTTTTAACATCCGTATCTCCTAGGCTACATTTGTTATAGTTGGTCCAGGTACACGAGGTATTTTAAGTGTTTAGAATTTATCAAACCAACATTATGAATTTTTAGGATGAATTCAGGGTAGGTGACATTACTATTCTTACTCAATTTTAAATCGATGTTTCTATTTTAGCAAGGTCTATCTGAAGTTCTACTAACTGAAAGACTTGCTATAGAATTTTAATCTTTACATTAAGCAATTTTCGTCAGATCCATTCTATGGCCGCCAATTATTTTACAAATATATATTCAATTAAATTTTACTCCGACCCGTACTGATATCTTAAAAGAAGTTTAATGTAAGATGTTAAAATATTGAATAAAAACAATTTATTTTTCTTACGCATTTATTTTTCTTACATATATCATGTCTTATAACGACAAATTTTATACAGCTGACTTTTAATTACAATCAGAATTTTATGTCCAAACATTTTATTTAAGTTATTGCGATACTTATAATATATTAATTGAGGTGTCCGTGCATGTTTCCGCATTGTTTTTGATTTTTTTCTTTAATAAAATGATACCTTCCGTAATGTTTTTTTATCATTATTTTCTTTTTGGAATAAATTGTACTGATCATCATTCCTTTTTTGTACCTCGATTTACAAGCTTAACCGTAGTTCTAGATTGGCAGCTTGTTCTCCTCGACTTATAACTGGAATTACCAGATATAACCAGAATATCTATAATAACCCCTCTACCTAGTCGAACACTCTTACGGATTCTTGCATTAAATTCAACGTTGATCATCAAAAATTTAAACGCAGTGTCAATCGTCTTCATCTATCTTTTTATCTTGTATTTTTAGTTTTTTTTTATTGTCCTCTCTGCTTAATAATGTAATTCTCACTATACAATTGCGTCTAAGCGGCATTACTGCCTTTCTTGTGGTGAAAGGATTGGTAAAAAAAACTAAAATGTGCACGTCAGTATATATTTCTTAGTCCTAATCATGCTTATTCTTTACACATATCTTTTTCTTAAAAGATATCGGCTAAGAAAATCAAGTAAAGATATTTTATGAATTATTAATGACGGAGGAGTGACAAAATAGCATAGATAACAATGGTATGCACACACATTTATATATATATATATATATATATATATATATATATATATATATATAAATATATAAAAAAATATAGTCTTAAGGTGTGCTATATTTATGGGATAAAGTGCTCAATATAAGAGATAGAGCGTGTGTAAATATAAAAGAGAACATATATATATATATATATATATATATATATATATATATATATAAATCACTATTTGCATTGTTCGGTCTACTGTCCTCATCTCGGCATATTCACAATTTTATGGCCGTTGTATGCTTCGGTCTTATTCAGGTTTAGTCCAAGAATGTAGTTTGTTCAACGGCGGGAACGTGCCACGGCCGTA